CCCCAAAACCCCAAAACCCCAAAACCCCAAAACCCCAACATTCACAAATAATACAATGAAATGAGTTAAATAGTAATAAGCGAAAATGAACATGAGGATAATAATTGAGTTTGTGTTTATGTATATTTATACCCGGATCATAATAGAGCTCGTGTTTTATAAGTTACATTATATAATCATGAATGATTAATGGCGGCTGTTCTAGTATTCCTTCTGCCACTGCTCATTCCCATTTATTATGTATCTCTTGACTCTATACCTATTATGTACTAGCTTTTGTAATATAGGGAGGAGAAGTCGTCAGGCTGGGATTAGTCTGCTTCAGCATCATAATTCTCCATAGAGATGTCCAATTATTTATTAGATGAGCTGCTATTGAAATATCCTCTTTGTCTTGTTTTATTAGGCTTCGATTCTGGCTTTACTTGGGGTTTTCTATGGACAACACCCCCAATATTATCCTCCAGATTTTGAATTTATTCGACAGGATCCTTCTTAACATAACCCTCAATGGCTAAGAATAACTATGTTTTCAAATTTCCCATATCTCTAAGCACTTATTCCTCATCAGTCTCAACGTCATTATCACATCCCTATGCATCATATTAAGGAGAGGTTAAATTACGTGTTAAATGAGAGTCTGATTAATCAGAACTTTACTTTTAAAAACTTGTGGGTTTTAATCTTCCATGAAAAGTTTGAAATCTAACTTTTTGCGTTTGTCACTCTGACTTTTAAATTTAATATTTTTGATCGTTGACTCAAAATTATTAATATCGTTAAGCTCCTATTCTTAATAATAAGATTTCTTCACTAATCTCTAATTAATAATAGGCTTCGCTCTCAATTATTCTAAATAAGGTAGTTTTATTTAATGCGTGGGAAGAAAAAGAACTTACTTTTTTGCTTCTGAAGCAGGTGATTATTATGCTTAAGGAAGGTTGAATCAACATTAATTGGGCTGCCGCAAGAACTAAACATATTGTACGCCACACTAGCTGTGGTTGAGGCAGATGATACAATATTCGTTGTCTCATTCTCCCATTCAAAATTTGCTAGGGTTGATGATAAATTCCGACCTTCCAAATCGAATTTATTCCCACTCTTTGTACTCTTTCTAGCCTTTATCGCCTACATTTTAGTCTTAAGGCTAAGTGGGTCAAAGGCTATTCTCTGATTTTTTGTCTTAAGCTAGGCTTTGTGTTGATAATTTCGCTTTTAGATTCCGTTAGGGTGTTACGGCCTCATCGCTCTGAGCATTTTGATAATTAATGAAGTCTTGAAATTAATTTTAAAATTACTAAGTCATTCATCTATCTTATTTAAATAATGAACTAAACACAATATGATATGACAATTATAAATTATACACTAACTAATATCCAAACTTCTTACCTCTTCCTTATCCAAACTGATCCAAATCTTACGGGGTTTTGGGGTTTTGGGGTTTTGGGG